GATCAATGGAGGAGGAAAAAAAGAATTCCTGAAGGTTTTAAATATTGGTTACATAGGACCATGTATCAGGACAATCTATACATCAAATGTCAACGAAGAACTTGCCTTTTCTTCGAATTCGATAGACAACAAAAACCATCGTGGGGACCTAACGGTCATTCTTGAGTCATCCTGAAATAAAAACTTTTCGAAAACTCATTCCACACTTAGTTCGAACCTACGAAAAAAAAAAAAAAAAAAAAAAGAAAGAAAGAAATAGGACTTCTCCCTTTGATCCTATCAATAAGGACATATCAAAGACTCAAAGAACCCAAAAATGCTTTTCATGTCTTCTTATTTCGATGAAAATGTAACAGAGTCTAGAGACTATATTTTTTTTGTCAAAGAAAATATGGATTACTTAAAACATTGGGGGATTTAAACCGAAATGAAAAGTTCTACTGATTATTGTTATCGTACAGCCTGATGATTAAAAAACTTTGGTATTTTTTTTTTTTTTTTTTTTTTTTTTTAATAAAAGACAAAAACAAACAAAAAATGAATTAAATTGATTAATAAAAGAGACTCGCTCTCGGCGTAGAAATATTTATGAAAAGGAAAACGTAATATAATAGATGGAAAGGATGTCGAAGAAAAGAAATGGGGAAGATGGGAGAGGGTCTCTTTCTCTATCTTTCTCTCTCTCTCTCTCTCACAGAACATCGAAGCGAGCCGGTGCTCTCTTATGTCGTACCATGAAACGAAAACAGTCGAGCCCATTGTTGCGTACCCGTCGCGGCGTGGAGTGCATAATTAATGACCTTCGTGCTGCCAAGTTTTGCATTGCAAATGGCGCCTGGAAGGCGCGCTCGCGCACCCACTATAAACGCGCGTGCATGCGGAAAGGACGAACCGTTGTTTAACTGAGGGAAAGAAAGAGAGGGAATGGAGTGGGGGAAGCAGGAAGGGGAGAAAGAGGGGAAGAAATACCATGCAGCTTCGGGACGATGAACAACGAGAAAGTTTCGGGATCAACGTAGACGATCGCATAACTCCGCGTGCCACTTACACTATCGCCCGACCTCCTTTTTTCTTCTTCTTTTTTTTTTCTTCTTCGTATCGTTAATCGTCTTTTGCTTGAACGAGATTCCATAATTATGAGCCATCTTACTATCCCTCCTTCCCTGCACCATTACATCTTGGAGTTGAGTTGTTATCGATGTACAATGAATTGTTAATTATTCGGACGAATTCAACTCGGAATCTTTTGTTAGTTTTGACAAAAAGAATCATAATAAATTTCTAATGCTACGTTGTTATCTGCTTTTATGTAATAAAAATTTTGACCAAATATACTCGACGGGGTTAAAGAAAAGATAAGAAGAAAAATGTTTCCGCATCATTATTTTACATAGATAACTTTAAGGAACTTCTTTTTTTTTTTTCCTTTCTTCTATTTTCTGGTTTCCTAAACGTACAAAAAATATTGACACATGTGCTTTCTGAGATGACTCAACATTGATCAATTAATCATTTAAAACGGTTTGTCGAGGTAATTACGAGCTACTTCACCCTTTCAAAGTATTTCAAATCTTTGGTATTTACTTCCGCTATCGTATCACCGATCGAATGGTGAATTTTTAATTATTCGAACTAACCAATATTTTGTTCCTAAGGATAAACAGAATGATAATATATTACTAATGACTCGTTTTATATAATAAAAGGTCGAGTACATGTATTCGACGTAGATTAAGAAGATATTGAAGAAAAACGTTTCCGCGTCATTATTTTACTTAAATACGATAATAAATCATCTCTTTCTAAACGTATCAAAAATTCTAACACACTTACTTTCTAGATGACTCCAACACCGATCAATTGATCGTTCAATAGTAATTACTTCGTAATTACGAGCTACTCAACTCCATTTGAAATATTTAATAAATTCTTTGATACTTACTTCGTTACCATACCACCCATCGGATAGTAAATTTTAATTAATTGATCGAACGAACTAACTCGAAATAATCTTTCCCTGACGTTTGAGTAAACAGAATTATAATGTCTTTCTAATACTAAGTAGTTGACTCATCCTATATAGATACCAGAAATTTTAGTAAATATATTCAAATAAGCAAGAAAAACAGAAGAGATTAAAAAAAAAAAAAATGTAATACGCAAGACGATGATGACTCAATCGGTCGCACGTTGAATATTGATCACAATTTCTTCACAAAAAAAAAAAAAAAAAAAAAAATAACGCGCAAATACACTAATAAAAAAAAAATATCAAAAACAGAAAGCTTTCAAAGTTAAACGCGTGAACATTTGTAACGCGAATTAAACTCACCGAAAAATATTTGGCACGACGTTTCTTCGATTTTAATCTTCTAAAAAGTCAACTTTACGATCCTTCTTCTTCGTGAAAATATACATTCGTATGTTGAACAAGACAATTACGAACAATCTCAGAAGAAATCCATTATTCGGTATAAAATTTTACACGCAAACACACTTGCAAGATCTCTATGCATTCTATCGTAGTAGACATCACAATCTCAATTTTCAATCTTCTTCGAACCACCTCTTGTATTCCCTTTCGTTTCCTTCCTATACACTTTTTTTCAAAGATCAAAAAATGATCGATAAAGAAACATCGTCACACGGATCGTATAAGAAAAAAAAGAAAAAAAAAAAAAGAAAAACAACAATGTACGACGGATAAACAAAGTAAAAAAAAAAAAACAAAAAACAAAAAACAAACAACAAGAAAAACAAGTTAGCTCGATCTTTCAACGACACTTGTCGAGTTCTCAATAATCGATAGCCGAGACTCGAGCATAGAAAGAAGTTAACGGGAGAAGCGTTAAAAGGCACGCGCACACACGCAAATATGCACGCATGCACGTACACACACGTATACACATACAGTGTCGCTTATCTAAAACGAAGAAACGACAAACATTCGCTGATAAGAGACGCGCTATCGGAATTATCGTTGTTGCGTTCGTAATAATCGCGCGTTTATTCGCTATTTCATCAAGACGAAAATTTCATGTCTACGACGACGACGACGAAGACGACGAGGATGATTATGATTATAATGATGACTATTACGATTAACTTTGGCAAAGAGCTCGGCCGAAAGTTCCAGAGCGACTGCAGGACATTTTTTGTAAGAAGGCCCAGGTAGGTAGGTAGGTATAGGTAGATAGGTAGGTAGGTAGAGAGTCCTGCTTGGTTGGCTGCTGCAACCTGAAAGGACCTTTCTCTCCCTCTCTTGGTATACTCGCAAGGTGTACCAACGCGCAGTTATTCGGTGAACAGAGTCTCTCATCTCTATCCAACACGATTTTTATCTACACACCCTATATCCATCCTCCAATTTTTCTTACTTTTTTTTTCGTTTTTGTTTTGCTTAATATTCTCAAGTTGTTAGGGACCACTTGTGATCCTAATATCGAAAATTTCGTTATCGAGAACATATCGATACATGTATTTACATCGTCTCTTCGTCTATTAAAAAAAAAAAAAAGGTGGAAAAAAACGGATAATCGAATGAAATTAGCACGAGAACTAATTTACTCCTTGTTTTCATCTTTGACGATATCTACGACCGAAAGGAAGACATTCTAAGTTGAGAACGGCTGTTCTGTATATATATATATATATATATATATATATATACGTGCAGAGAAGAAGAGAGGAGTAGTGGGAATGAGCAGGGGGCAGGATGAAGAGAGGGGGATATAAAGGGGGAGACCCGGTGCAGGCACAGTCGGAGGCAGGTTTTGGCCGGCTGTCAGGAGCGTAACGCGCACAAAGGGCAGGTGCTGGAATGCATCGATTACCTCTCTTGGCCCCACTACTAAACCTACCTGCCACCACGTTAGTATCTAGTGTCTGGGAACCACCCTTATCTCCCCCTTTCTTTCTACTCTGCGTCAACAACCGGAGCATAGAAAGAAGAAAAAGAAAGCTACCGATGTGTGAGTATATGTAAGAATGAGTGAGGATCTTTTCCAATCCCCATTCTCTCTCTCTGCTCTCTCTCTCTCTCTCTCTCTAACTTTCGTTTCTAAACACAAGGGTGACTCAAATAGGATTCCCCTTTTCTTCGTGAACGTTAATCGAATCGATCCCTTCGAATAATTTTTCCTCGACGAATTGAAAAGTAACTATCGTTGATGGTAGAAGGGGTCTATACATTCGTATGAGTGTGTATGTGTGTGTAGGTGGATCCCAAGAGAGAGAGAGAGAGAAAGATGGAGAGTAATACTGAGCCGCTCGTCATTAACCCGTTATACGTCACTGTACTCAGCTCCTTTCACGAAGGGACCAAGGAACGATGGATGGGATAATTAGCGAAGGAAAACGGCACACCGCCCGTTAAAACTCGTCGTTTCCTACTCGTTCTTTCAAGGGAACAAAAGGAGAGAGAGAGAGAGAGAGAGAGAATACTAGCAAGTATAATTCATGATATTCGACGATGCGGTATAATCTATTAAACTTAACGCTCGTTAACGAGCAAGGTCTGTGATTTTTAAACGCTTTATGATGAGGATAAAGAATCTCTTTCTCCTCTTTCTTATTCCTTTTTTCTTTTTCGGTTTTTCTTTTTAACGTCAGGAGAAAAAAATCGAGTGCACTTTCGACGCTCATTCCGATCGAATTTAATCGATATGTTAAATGAATCCAAGCGTTTATTATTGCGTATCGTGCCGTCGCTTAAAGTCGAAATGTTATCATCGTATTTTGTGGGGGTTATCAAAGGAGAAAGAAGAAGAAAAAAAATATGCTCTCTCAATGACACATACGTATGTGTCCTTTTATCTCTATTTCTCTCTTTTATTTATTATTCGTTGTCGCTTTTATTCATATCCGAAGTTCCGAGTTTTATAATTTTCCGATATCTATTATTCGATAGAAAGAAGAATATATATTTTATATCGTGGAACGAATCGGGTCGTTAATTTTGAACGAGTTTTGAACGATCGACGATAGCATTGAGAACTCACCTTTTGCTGTGCCAACCTAAGGGACTCCTCGAAATGTTTGTGAACCGCTTGCTCAGCGGCCCTTTGCTTCTCCAGCCTCTCTCGTTCCATCTTCGCCTCGCGTTCGCGTTTCTCTAATTCACGGACTTCCGCTTCGCGGCGTTCCCTGAAAGCAAATAAGAAAAAGAAAACGTTAGGTCAACTATGTTCCAATAGTTTTCTAATTCCAGTATAATAAATACCTTAGGAACAGGAATTTTTACAAAGGGCATATACATTAATTTATGTATCTAATATTATTTTAGATATTTATAATTTAAGAATACGTGTATATATATATATATATATATATAATATATATTTTGCCATATAATATTAATATATATAATTGTACTATACATAAACGAACATGTAGAACAAGAATAAAATTTTTCTTTGATTCTGAATTGGTATAATATTAAAAGGAGAAATTGTAGCAATGTAAATTGTAAAATTCTAACCAGAACTGGCTTTGATCTTTAAAAACGAAGAAAAAAAAAAAAAAAAAAAAAAAAAAAAAAAAAAAATGTACCTGTACTTAACTCTCTTCTGACAAACACACATACACACATTTGTTTGTTTGTTAATTTAACGTAAAAAAGAAAAACAAATATGATCTGAAAACGGGATTGCAAAAATTTGTTATTTTAAATGATCTACGGCCTCATCTTTCATTCCTTTCTTTGTACCGTGTTCTCACAAGAAATAGTAGGAACGATAATAAACGCAAAACTGGTGAGTGTGCTTCCATACGTAGGCATGCACCCAGACATGCGCACGAACACGCATATACATGAACGTCGTGACTTTTTAACAGGCGCGAGAAGGAGATAAGCATTCATTAACGCTTGCGCAAGTTATTTATATGTACTACTACGGTAAGAGCGCACAAGGCGCGTGTTTATCTCCATTCTCGGTCGGCGGACCTTACAATGCACGCGCGCGGAATTCGCGCCGCGATAACAGCTAATAATGTGAGCGCATAACGCGACTTTCGTGTGTAACGCACGCACAAAAAAGAAGGAAAGAGAGAGAAACACAAATAGACGATATTCAGAAAAACCAGATTCTCGTTGACGTATACAAGAATCGTATGAGACGTATTACGTATTTACGTTTTACGTGACTAGCTTTTCTAAAACATTATACAAACTAATTTTATTAGAAAATATATATTTATATACATAAAGGTGTCTGTGCGTATGGATGTATGTGTACATACGAATATATTAAATGATAGTATTTGTTTATTTATTATTACTTTATAACATATTATATTTATATCAACAACTTGGAACGTTTGAATTATCAGTACCTATAATACTTTGTATAATATAATTATATACTAATACAAGTCAATAATTACTATACCATATATGTACTGATAAAAGTTATACTATAACTTTCTATATTATATAATTTTTTCTAGATGCAAAATAAGAAAAATAAAGAAAAGAAAAAAAAAATAAAAGAGAAAGAAATTGTGATTACACTCGCTTCTAAATTAAAAATTCATCTATTCTCAGAAAAATATCAAATTTAAGCGATTGGCTGTGTAACGTCATTGAAAATATCACTGTAAAGTCATTGAAAATTCTGTCACTTTCTGATTAGTTAAAATTATTCAAAAGAAAACAATTATCATCATCGTCATCATCATTATCATTGTCGTCTTCGTCATCATCATTATCATGGTCGTCCTCGACATCATCATTATTATTATTATCATCATCATCATCATCATCATCATCATCATCATCATCATCATCATCATTCTACTCTAATTCGATAAAAGTGAAAGAGAAGATTCGCACGCTCGTTGGTGGCATTAAGGAAGGAGACGCACGTTCACCGCGTTATTTCCTGCTCCGAGAGAGCTTCTCATGACCGACCATAGAATGCAAGAGTTGGTGGTATGGGGGAGGGGAAGTATGGGTTGGAAAGGATGAGGAGAGTGGGAGACGATGGAAAGGGGAAAGGGAACGGAGGGGGGAGGGAGAGGAAGATGGCGTTCAGCAAATGCGAGTTACTGCTTCGTCTCTGTGTTACATCGCCTTTCGCGTTCCAAGAAAGCGTACCTCACTTTCTGGAGCTCTGGCATTGCTATATCTCGGAAACTTATGCGAGTCCGCGGTATGATTTTCTTTACTTTTTTTTTTTTTTTTATTTTTCTTTCTTAGTAAACTCTCTTCGTGGACCTTGCACACGTTGCGTCAGATTATCTGCATTATGTGTGCATTAAGAGAACAGCGAGAGAAAGAGAGAGAGAGAGAGAGAGAGAGAGAGAGAGAGAGAGAAATAGAGACAAGTAAAGTCATTATATTCGCTTATCTCGATTTCGTTTCGTGAAACACAACATGAACGGGAAAACCTATCTACACAACTGAGCTATACAACAAGTCATATTTAATTAATTAACGTCATCGCATTATTCAACCACATTATCTATCGCGTAACAACAATGAGAGACGTGTTTTTCTAACAATAAGGAAAGAAAAAAAAAATTGACTTTGACGAGCGATAAAACTGAAATAGGAGGTGATAGGAATCGATTACTCGGAAAAAATCGTTTGTTCTTTTTTTCTTTCTTTTATTGTTTCTTTGTTTCTTTTTTATTTATTAGAGTGTTAATATCATCGAAGTTAATGCCCTTTAATTTAATTTGTGTAATTTTTCAATTACACGATTATACGCTAGCGTATTTGCGTATGATACATGTGCCCAAATCTTTTAAGTCCGATATTTCATGTTATCTTACTGCAATTAATTTTTAAAGTTTATTTTCAATTTTTCTTTTTTATCATGTCTTAAATTTTTAACTATAAATTATAATTAGTACAGTATTATGTTATACTATTATTATTAGTACAATATAATCATTTCAAGGTTACACAAGGTATTATAGATATATTCGAAGAAAGATGGAAGAAATTTTCCTTTTGTCCAAAACCTCGCTTATTATTTGCTCAAAAGAAAAAAAAAAAAAACTAAAGAAAAGGAAAGAAGAAGAAAAGAAAAAAAAGGGAAAGCAAGAGGAGAACCTTTTTATCTCTCTCTCTTTCTTTCTCTCTCTCTCGAAAATACCGATGCGAGCGCACTGCATCACATGGGGGTCAACGTGACCCTAAATGCGTCCAGCAGGACGCAAAATTACTAGTTTCCTTAGTAAGGTTAATCGCCAGTCAAGATGGTCGAAGGCCGACCGGACAGGAATTCCACGCCTCTTCTTCGTATCCTTCGTTTCTCTCTTTCTTTCTCTTATATACCAACGTATATATATATATATATATATATACACACACATCATACACATACATATACCACATGGGCTGGCTGCTGGCATACACATACTTTTCCGACAAACTACGTGTATAATCTTATACAAACAAGTATGTCCGTTCCTGTGTAGATGCATATGAATGCATTTGTGTGTATGTGTGTTTGTGTGCGTGCGAGAGAGCTCGCTCAGAAATCGAGCAGAGACCGGCAGTGCTTGCATGCCAGTCGATAAACCAGTCTGCTATGGGAAAAGGACAGGTTCGGCCTGCGGGTAAACCTTTGAAAAATCCGGTCGCTCTTGCAGCAGCAGACCGGACAAACCGGAGAAAGAGAAAGAAAGAAAAAGAAAGAGAGAAAGGGAGGGAGAGAAAGACTCTCTTACTCACTCACTCGAAGCAACACGCGGCGAATATCACCAAAAAAGGACTTATGCATCCTTCCTACGGGCAGGTCTGCCTCCAGTCTCCTTTCTTCTTTTGCTCATCGAGAGATCTCGACCAACATGCTCTTCTACTTCACCAACCAGATCCACACTATATATACCGGTTCTATGTATATGTGATTATCTCTCTCTCTCTCTCTCTCTTTCTCTCTATTTTTCTGTGTGTGCGAACGCGCGCGTGTATATACTTGCGTCAGAGAACTCAGGACACAAACTGGCCAAGCTCCGACCGACCGACCGACGATGGCGACGACTACACTATTGTATCGCGAGACTACTTTTTCTTTATTCTTTATTTTTCTTTTTCTTTCCTTTCAAAGTAGCGCCATCGACCAGTTCAGTTCCTTTCCTATTTCGGTCTCTCTTTTTTCATGACCTTCGTCATCTCTCGGCTCTCTTTCTTTCTTTCTTTTTTCTCTCCCCTGTGTATATGGAAAATAGGAAGGAAGACAGACAACACGCGCTTGCGCCCGATAGAGGAAGAGAGAGGAGAGACAAGGTTAGTTGTTAAATGTAAAAGTAGAAAGAAAAAGTTGAACTTTTTCAAAAAGTTTCCTTGAAATCCGTCTGGAAAGGAACATTCAAATTGTTTACACACACGACGAATTTTCGACACTGTGTTAGACAGATATTATGTTTACTCTAATCGACGATGATGCTTGTTGTTTGTCTGTCCTAGCTACCTTACTTGTTTGTTCGCTCGCTCGCTCGAGTATTTCAAGATCGTAAATCTTTCGATCTGAGATTGAGAGAGAGAGAGAGAGAGAGAGAAAGAGAGAATGTTTCAAGGTCGACAGCGATATTAGCTTAGTTCAGTTCTCGAGAACTGGTCGATTGAGAAATTAATTTAACTCTCTATTATAACCGTCGTGTAACTTTCAACTCACATTGTATGTGTACATACATGTGTGTGTGCGTGCGTGTGGGTTTTTTTTAAATATTTTTTCCTTCATTTATTTTCTTCTCGAGAGTTAATATTCTCTAAATATAAGTTATATTTACAATTAATATAATACACTATTATACACGTACGTAAGATAACTAATATCTATTTTCCAATTTCCTATAGATACAATTTTATTAGACACTAAACAATGGAGTTAACGATAGGATATGTAAAAAAAGCAAAAAAAAAAAAAAAAAAAAGATAAACAGATATAAATAAATATTATCTCTCAGTGTAATCAAGTTAACAGAATGACGATGGGATACTATCCAACTCTCGTTAGAAATTAATCGTCTTTCACACGCTTTATCTTTAATCTCGAAAATGAAAGAGAGACAAAGAGAGAAGAGAAAAAATGTTTTTCTTGCGTCAGAGAAGAGGTTCGACTGTATATATACAGGGTGGCCGGTTTAAAAATGGCTCACGCTTACAACTAGTAGAGCAAAGGCAGACAAACACC